CAAATCTTTAGATAGTGTTTAATTTTAAAAAAATTGGTGTTTTATTCCAAAAGCTACTTGATCTGCTGGTTCCTTATTAATATCTCGATTAAGATAAAGTATGTCGAATGAAAAAGGGTTTATTAAAAAATATTATTTCTCATAAAAAAATTGTGTGGATCCATAAACTTTTCAATAAGTTATAGCATTATAAAGTTAAATATAATATAAATAATAAAATCGAGAATTTTGACATTTTTCTTATAATAACAATTTATTAAAAAGATCTAACGATCACCTTATGCCAACACTGCCTAATATTTTTCATACTTTTACTGGCACTTTATCTGTTCCTACTGCTTTATTATTTTTCATTGATGCCACAGCCTCCGATACCTCTTTCTCACTAATTAATTCTACCAGTCCCTCCTTCCATTAGCTTTCTTCTAATGTTTCTTTTGAATATTCTTCATTCAGTAATTTTCCAAAAAACTCTTTCCACATCACCATCACTCATTAGCACTTTCTTACCGTCACTTTTTAAACACCTTACATTATGATAATCTTTGGATCATTTTCTCTTACTTTTACAAATTATGGATTTCTTTTTCACCTTACTTTGTTCCTAGACTATACAACTCATCATACCTCTTAAACTTCGCCTTACTTACTGTAAATTTAGCTTATTTACACAAATGTTATGCTTCATTCAATTTTTTCTTCTTTTGCTTTTCTGTCATACTTTGAACTGCTTTTTCTTACTCTCGATGATTGTTAAACGTCCTCATTCCACCACCAGGTTTCCTTGTTTTCTGGAATTCTACTTCTACTTTTACCAACAATTTCCTTTGCAGTATTCTTTACACAACTAGGAAATCTATTCTAAAAATGTATGTCTCTTTCGACATTCCACACCATCCTCTTTTTTACCGTCTTTAAAAAGTCTTTATCTTTTTCTTCTTTCAATTTCTACTATTGGATCCTCGATTCTCATCCTATGTTCTTTCTGTTTTTGTATACTCTTTTCCCACTTCATCACAACTCCATTACCATCAGTCTATGTTGTGAAGTTACACTCTCGTCTGGAGTAACTTTACAATATTTTGTAAAATTAAAATAATATGATTAACTATCATTGCGCTGTATACACAGTACCTATTATACAGGGTGTTCAGTAAGTCAGGAAAAGGGTTTCTATTGTTCTCATTATTTATAGCAATTTACCTATTTCCTTACTTTCAGAACACCTGTATATCAATTTAATTTAAAATAATTAATGTATTGAATAGTACGGTGAATGATATGAATAGGTTATAGTTTATATGAAATAGTAATAAATAAAAAATTGTATATGATAAAATGTGACATAATAAATATCAAAAAAATTTGGTAGGATTTGTTTAAATTTAGTTTAATTACTAACTTTCGAAAATTAAAAAGTAACATAGTTCATGGTTCAACTCAGAACTAATAAAAAAATTTCCTTGTGGTTTAAATAACCGTCAGTATTGTGTAACAGTCAACGTGTAGCATACGACTATATAAAATCCTTGATTTAATGTACATGTGACACAATGCCGTTTCGAAAAAATAATAAACGTTTACCAAATGGGCTGAAGTATAAGTATACTTATCACTAATATTTTTAATTATGTACGTGTATATTTTTTAATTAAAATAAAATTAAAATTTTTGTAGTATTTTGGAAGTACAAAAAAAATTATTATTGGTTAGTACAGATAATTTTGCAAAAAACTTCTATTTACATTTATATGTTTATTATTTTTTTTTTTAATACGACCTGACGACATGACTCTCAAACTTCCGCAGCGGTTGCACTGCCGCAGTCCGAGCGTCTACGCATTGATTAGGATGAGTTTTTACTCCGGCAAATAATAATTGAAGTCAGACTGACCTCAAAATATATAATACATTGAGGAAGATATATGACAGAGATGTAACATAATTAAAAGCAGAATTGATAAGATTGAATATTTAAATAACAAGTATAATTTTGCAACGTTTTAATAGACAATTAATGTATACTATTTCTTTTCAGACTTTAACAATATGGAAAGAAATTTTATTTTAATATATTTATACAAATAAAATTACAATTAAAAATAAAAATCGTGTTCATTTATTTATTTTGATTACACTATAAGCACTTAATTTCATTGATTAATTGTCTCATTTGTATAATATGATAGCCGAATGTTGAATAAGTAATGATGTGATTCGTAAAAAAAAGTTACAAAAGTTATAAAAAATGTCTTAAACCCTTTAACATATTACAATGATTAATTGAAATGTTTTGTGGTTGAAAAAATTGAATTAATTAAAAACAGTTCAGGTTTTTTAATTTTATTAAAGAAATAAAAGAAAATGTTAAGTATCTATTATACAAGTTTTACCAAGAATTCTTAATAAATATATATATATATATATAATGTAACATATTCATATTAAAATAAAAAAGAAAATTAATATATTTAACTTTAATAATAGAGCATACAAAAAATAAACATTCCAAGTGTTCGTCAAATAAATATTATAACTTATTTATCATATGGATAAATTCTGAGATAATTATTAAAATATCTATATGTTATTAAATTGGGTTTCATTTGGCGATTTATATTAGACAATATAGTTTCAAAGTAAGATTAATAATATATAATAAGATAATAACAAGAATATTAATACGATAATATGATAACTTTGATACAGGCATACAATTGCATATTATTATTTTATATAATTTCAAAAAAATGATTACAGTTAAGTTTTTGAGTGTATGTATTTTTAATTTATACATTATACATATGTATAATATTACAAGAAAAAAAAATGCACTGGTCCAATCATAAGATGTTTTTTTTATATTTTAAAGAAAATTGCATGAGTAGGAGGAGGCCGTTTTTCTTTCTTTACCTAGGGCATAAAATTCTTAAATGCCTTGAAACGTTATATTTATTCATTTTAAAACTATAACTTAGTTAAAATGTTTTAAATCTCAACCTTGGTTATTGTTTACAATAAGTCATTCTTATAAAAGTTTATTATGAGCGTAATATTTATTTAAATTATGAACATGTTGTAGTTTTTACATTAACCTATGTTATTTGTATGTATGAAAAATACGATATGTTTAAATTGTAATCGAAAAGTACTTTATATACTAGTTATATTTTTCATTTCAACTATAAATTTGATTCCCGCGTTAGTAAAATTAACCAATGAAATTTAGTAAGGGCTACCAATGTAACACTGAGAGTGCGCAACATGTGTGCCACGCTGTTTCTTACTACACTTCTCTATTTATCTCTCTGTTAAGTACAGTTAAAAACTCGGAAGACTGAAATTATAAAATGTTTGTACGTGCGTGAGTGCGAACTGTGTTTATATTATACTGTAATCGGTGTGTAGACGATAGGCTATAGTCATAAAATGGCGTTATTCCAGTTAATCTATTAACAAACATAGCTGAAATTGATTTCTTCTCATTTTATTTTGATTATGTATTCATGATTGTAAATTATCGATTACTTACAAATTAGTGAATAAATCAATTACTTTATTTTGTTTATTATTTACATTAACCGGTTGCTAACAACAAGTACGTCTTAATGCTCTTATCTTTTAACCACACGGGGTGTTGTTATTAGGGATGTCTCATATGAAGTTTTAAAATTAGTTTTACGATTTAATTTTCAGGTAAATTTGTTGATCAATTCTTAATTATTTTATTTAAATGATATGGACGTTGTTGAAGTTAAAGATTTCCAATGCCACTCTGACGGAGAGGAAGTTGTTATACTAGATCTTGATAAGGTAAATAATGTTGACACGCAAGAAGTTGAAGAAGTCCCGTCAAATAATATTAATGGAGAAAACTCTGTAGTAAATACAAATGGGGTTGAAATAGTAGAAATTATTAATAAATTGCAGGAAAATAATCAGTGTAGTGGAATAGTTGATACTTCTACTAGTGCTATTACTGTAGATCTATCTGATGTTGCTCAAAATGATAGTGCTAACAATGTTGCTGTTGGAGAAAATAATATATGTGAAGTGCCTTATGATGCTCCTTGTACCAATACTACCTTGAATGAAAATGGTCATATGGATGAACTTAGTAATATTGATAAATCGAACATTCTAGAAAATCAAGAAAACATAAAAAATGATTCAATAAAAATAGAGTGTAAGACTGATAAAATTGATGAAACTAATAATATAGAAGACGAAATTGTAAATGCAGAAGATAAAACTATAAACATTGAAGACAAAACAAAAAATTTAGAAGATAAAATTATAAACATTGAAGACAAAACAAAAACTGTTGAAGATAAAACTATAAACATTGAAGACAAAACAAAAAATGTAGAAGACCAAACTAAAACTCAAGATAATAAACCAAAAATTTCGATAACTATTCCTCCCCATATTGCTGGACGAGATGTTTCGTCTCTTACTGAAGAAAAACTACCACGTTCAGGTAAAAGAATGCTGAAACCTAGATTTGGTGTAAAGGTACCTTACATACATATGACTAGCCAAATTGTAACTCAAGATGAAATTGCTAAGGAATTATTTGAAAGATTTCAACAAAAGTATCCAATGACTAGAGTTGAAAAACCAGATAAACTTTTTTCAATGAAATTAACTCATAGGTTAGCTAATAAAATTTCACCATTAAAATCTCCAGATGGAAAACTTAAAGAACCTTTAAAAAAAAATAACAGTGATTTAAAAAATGTCAAAGATTCCATAGAACAGACATTAATCTCTAGTAAACCAAATAATTCGATGAATACCAAGGGAAATGATCAAACTATTTTAAATAACGATTCATGTGATGACTTGCTAGTAGCCTCCTGTAATATAAATAGTACCCAACAAATTGATCAAATTACAAATACTCTTAAAAACTTAGAGCAATCTGAAGAATCCAATCCAAATATATCTGATGATAAAAACGATGGGAAAATTTCATCTAACGAGGAATTAATTGCAATACTTGAAGATTTTGAAACCATAGAATCAGCTGACACTAACGGTAATAAGGTTTCAGATTCAAAACAACTAGTTAAATGTCCTATTAAAAGAAAAATTTTGAGAAATAATTCTAGATCTAAAAGATCGAAACCAAAACTAGACCCTGAAATTGAGAAACAAATTGCTTTGAAACAACTAGAGGAAGTTTCTAGACCAAAACGTTTTGATTCTCATTTTGTAAAAAAGAAAGTAGACAATGATAAAAAAATTATAGCCAAAAATGATACAAATTCTGTTCAAAAACGAAAAAAACCTTCTTCTGGTGATGTACCAGAAGTTAAAATTGCTATTGATCATTACATAAAGTCATATACAGATAAACGCCAATCCAATATTAAAGCTGAACTGGCTGAAAATGAAGAAACAGAAACTGAAATTGAAAATAGTGATGATGTTGAAGTAGAAAATTCTACAACTCCCACTAATAATGTGACTAAAGCTAGAACTATGAGAGAAATTAACCGTCTTCTAGGTGATGAAGGTGCAATAAATATGATTTATTCTCTTGAAAAAAGAAGAACCCCAGGTAATAATAATTTGAAAAATGTGCTTCCATCTACAAGACGTAAGAAGAAAGATTTAATGCTGAAAACTAAACTAGTAAAAAATGCTATGTTAAAAATGAGTTCACCTAATAATTCATCTATATCAAGTAATCGTTTAATTAGACGCTCAGATGTAACTCCAACTATTTCTCCCGAAGAAAAAATGAGTAGAAAAATGTCAGTTGATTCACAAGGATCTGATCAATCGACACATTTTTCTGGTAGAAAAGCAATTCCTGCTGATGAATCAAAAATTATTAGAAAACATTCATCTAGTAGTGAAGCATCTAGTATTGGGATTAGTCCACTATTTCCAGTCCCTGAAGCTATTCCTATTCCAAATATAACTTCAAAGCATATACCAGTGAAAGCATTACGTGTATATACTAGAAAAAATAAAAATTCTGATGATTCATTTATTATTGATGATATAACTTCTCTCAATGAATTAAACAGTAAACCAAATAAATGTACTACTAGATCTAAAAATAGCAATCAAAAAGCAAAAAAAGATTCTTTACAAACAGCAGCAAAATTATCAAGTATGTTTTTGAAATTCATATTTTTATTCTATGTTGTTTAATACTATATTTTATAGAGTCTTTAGCTGAATGTATTAAACAAGATGTTGATGATACAACTTATAATGAACTTACTATTAGACATTATGATGGAGTAGTGCATATCACATTAACTCCAGTTTCAACCACTATGAAAAATGCTTTGAATATTTCTGTTAGTATAATATATTTTTATGTGTAAATATTAGTTTATGGAATATTAAGCATAATTATCTAATTTTTTCTTGTAGGTAATGGAAGAACTGATTAATGAATTGAATATTTTAGAAAATGATGATTCTTGCAAAGTAGTTTTGATATCGTCAGCTGGAAGAATATTTTGTCAAGGTCTTGACATAGCACCACTTATCAATGATGATCCGCAAATATGTCATGACATAGCAGTTAAAATGGCATCAACTATTAAGTAAACTTAAACTTCTTGATTCATTTAAAAAGAAAAATATCACTTATATTATATATTAGTGATATTGCATTTCTTCTATAAAAAAATTCTTGATATATAGTTATGTATTAGTTATTAACTAACCTAGTTTTATAGTTTTATAAATTTAATATTTTTTAATATCAGTAACTTAACTTTTCATTTAAGAAAAAATATATATATTACATATTGAATTTATTCTTATTTGTAACTTCGTATTTCTAGGAAATTTATTACATGCCTTGGTGATTTCCCTAAATTACTTGTTGCTGGAGTAGATGGTGCTGCAGTTGGACTTGGTGCTACTATGTTGGTTCATTTTGACCTAGTTTTTGCCAGTGACAAAGCAACATTTGAAACCCCTTATGCTCAGCTAGGTCACATTGCAGAAGGTGCAGCTACAACTATTTTGGGTAGATTATTAGTTGCTGAAATGATAATGGGTAGCCAAAGATTGACAGCAGGTCAAGCCCATTACTATGGTTTAGTTACTAGGACACTTTGGCCTGATCGATTTCATGATGAGCTTATACCATTAGTTAAAGCATTAGCTAGACAATCATTACAAGTACGTTTAATTATATTACTCAATTTTTAAAGAAATAAATTCCAATTTACAAAAAAACGCAAGTTAACAGAAGAGTTTAAATAGTTGAAAAATAAAAAGTATAACATTAAAATATAAATCAGGTATATTGCAAACAATAAATATGTATAATAAATCTAATGAAGAAAAATCAGTCACTTTAGTATAGATTATTCATAATAAGTTTGAATCTTTCAAACTACGTCCTTTTGTAATCAATGTCAGTATAACTTTTATACTTTATTTCCCAAATAACTATAAGTTAATTAAAAATAGTGTTCGTGGAAGTAATCATTTAAAAATCAAGGTAGTTAAGTTCTTATGTTAATAATAAGTTACAACTTGATACTAATTTATATGAAGTCCTAAATTTTTCTAAGCATATTAAAATATTAAATTAAATACCAAAATATTAAAGTAGTTACGGTTTCATTGTTCAATTTATATTATAATCCATTAACACCCTGTGTGTTGTATTCAAATAATATATTCTTAAAAATTTATCTATCTATATTTTATTGTTAAAGGTAATAATTAAAACACTAAATTATGTATCAAGAAAATTAATTAAAAAAAATTAACACTAGTTCTTTATATAATTAATCTGAAAATATATTGTTTATAGTATATTATACTGTAAAAACTAGTACTGAACCACTAAATCTGGATCTGTTCAAATTATTTCATAATGTAAATAGCATATACAAATATTTATATGATTTTAGTCAATCTTCAGCACTAGTAAAATATTTATAAGTGTTGTTAAGATAAACAAAATTTTTATTGACAAAACTTATCTGATGAAATCTATAAAATATTTAATTACCCAATTTTAGTTTTGATGTAAAGCTGAGAAGATATTAATTTTAATATGATGTTTTTATTTGTTTTTTTTTTGTGTCTGTTACCACTTTTTCTCAGCTCTCACTGAACCGATTTCTTTCAATGATACATCAAAAGATCACAAATTGTGTCTAGTCGAAGACATTACTCTTAAAAATTAAAAACATTTCCCTTGTTCCCGTAAACGAAGGAAATCTCTAAAAAAAATTACCAAATCAATATAATTTTTCTTTTATAGATGCATGATGTCTTTACCTATCATTTAGTATATTTTTTTATAAATCTGACCCTTTACCTGCCCACAGGGGGGATTTAAAATGACAACTTTTTCGNAATCAATATAATTTTTCTTTTATAGATGCATGATGTCTTTACCTATCATTTAGTATATTTTTTTATAAATCTGACCCTTTACCCTGCCCACAGGGGGGATTTAAAATGACAACTTTTTCGCAAAAAATTAACTTTTGAAAGTGTTCCGGAAACTGACACTTATATATCTTAAATTAAAGCTAATGTAATATACTTTATCACGGAAAAAAAATTTCGGACTTTACTTTGTCTTCACGGCAAAAACTTGTAATCAGGTTATAAATAAGGAAATAGCAGATCATGTAGCTTTTGGAATAATCCACCAATTTTTTAAAATTAAACACAATTTACATATTTGCATAAAAGCNTTTACTTTGTCTTCACGGCAAAAACTTGTAATCAGGTTATAAATAAGGAAATAGCAGATCATGTAGCTTTTGGAATAATCCACAAATTTTTTAAAATTAAACACAATTTACATATTTGCATAAAAGTTTTTTTATGGTAGTGTTTGAATCACTGTCAGATATCATTATACTTGACCCAACTATGCCACGTGACCACTGTGCCGCGATCCCTCTGTGCTGGGTTTTTTTAATCTGTAATAGTTGATAAAATAGATAACATTTATTTTTTTGTAATTTGAGTTATAAATAAAATGATTAGGGAATTTGTCCAGGAAATAGATTGAGATTAATTCCTGGAGTGTATGAAGTAGATCAACTAATGCCAAATAGCAATACTTGACTCAACTATGCCACATCCCCATTGTGCTGGGTTTTTTAATTTTTTCAAGTTGTATAGGCTCCATTATCATTTACTATCAATGTAAAAACTCATTACCTAATTTAACTGTTTGCTCATATTTTTTAATTTATTTATTTCAAAATATTCTTTTGAGGTATATTTTAATAGTTTTGTGATTGTTTTCATATATTAAAATTAAGTAAATCAGTTAAGATGTATTCATTTTCATGGAAATATAAGTGCTTAACTTATTAATTTGATGTAGTACAAAAAGTTATAAGAAATAGTCTTTGCAAAGAAGTAAAATAAAAGTGTTTGGCTAATTATTGAATGTATTATTAATACATAATTAGTGTTATATGCCAGTGAAAAAGTAATAATATCAGTAGCTTAAAGATTAGGCCACAGATTTTATGCTGTTAAAATAGTTTTAATCCTAACTAATCTAAGCAATTCTTGTCTCAATATTTAATTATTTGAATTATCTATAATATAAGATTACAATTTTTATTAAATAAATTTTTATCTGGAAATTAAGATGACTGCTAATTTCTAAAACACAACAGTGCAATTTATTATCATTAGCCAGTTTTAACCTTTTAATTGTATATCATTTTAGTTTTAAAATAAAAAATTAAATAAATTTATCTTGAATTTCATTTTTGATGAATTTAACTTTTAACCATTAAAGTAATATACTCGTATAAAAATAATTTATTTTTAATTGATTTATAAATTATTTTGTTATTAATTGTATATTTCTATTACAAAAATCAGACTTCAATATTATGTTTGAGGATAAGGTGTACACTCAGCTCTGTATGACATTCCATGGAAAAACATTTCATAAGCTGATATTTCATTTTTGTCTTTATGCAAACATAGGTTTCCATAAGGGCATGAACATTTGGTATATGTTGAGAAGTAATCAGTTCTTATATAACCACAAAATTCACTTGCATTACAATCTTTTAACTTCCAAAAAAAAAAGTATATATATATATTAATATAGATGCATCAATTTGATATATGAATATTATTTATAAAATATTTACTTTTTTGCATTTATACATATCTTTTATATAACTCTTATCTATGGTTGTATTATGATGATCATTTTGATTATGTCTAATGAGTTCCCAAGTTGTTTTTTGAGGACAATAACATTGTACTTTAGCTTTGACCTGGATGTTATTATCTTCTTTGTGTCTTTCAATTGTTATAGATTCACTGAATTTGTTAGTGCAATCCGGTAAGTCATACACCGGCTCACAAAACTAAATGTTAAAATAAAAAAAAATTTTTTTTAATATTTTCTAGACTTATTAGATGCTATTGTACCTCCCACAAAGAATTTTTTTAATCTTTATAACCCCAGACAGATTGTTAATCCATCATCAGAGAAAGAGATGGCAACTCTAATTAAATTGACCTCTTGCTCAGCAAATAGAACTACTTGTGACTGAGTCTTGAACCCAAGACAGTGCCCATCAGGCATTGCTGTGTTACCGACTCAACCACACTGACCTTCTATAATAAGAAAATTTTATAACTAAAACAAATATATTCTAAATCACCTTCAGTTGTGATCGATTATTCAATAGCATTGTTCGTTTATCGTCTGTACTCCATTTCCATGGACATTCTTCTCGATTTGGACATTTGCATAAACGTTCAATTTGAGGGGGAAACCAAAATCTTAAATGAACAATGTTACATACACTATATTGTTCACATATATTTAAGTCTCTTTCACTTTTAGTCTAAGAAAATTCAGTTTAAGTTCATTATGATATTCTTATTATTATTATTATTTTTAATTACCTGTCCTGGGTATAAGTAAATGGCTTTATTTTCCATTTCACTTGATACTACAGGTATTAGCAGAGTTGCTTCATAGACATTTAAATTTGCCGTAAAAATATAAATTAAGAAGATAATGGCCATGATTTTAAATTACTTGAACTCTGTAATGAAAGTTTATTATAATTTTTAAATATTATTCCAGGCTATGAAAACTTCAAAAGCCCTCCAAAAACAAGAAACCAAAGATAAACTTTCTAAAGCTTTAGATACAGAAACACAAATTTTAATACAACAATGGATTGGAGAAGAATGTCAACTCAGTTTACAAAGATATCTAAAAGATGCTGTAGATAATCTAAATACATAATAATTTTATTATATTGACTTTTTTTTTAGTTATATACTACCTTGTTTTCACTTAACAAGGCTTAAGTATAAAATATTTATGTTAATTATTATTGTTCTTATCAAAACAAAAACCATTTTTATTGTTTAACTAAATTTAAAATATTGGTGGTTAATATTTTGATATTTTTAAAGTCATGCATAATAGTTACAATATATAGTAATTAAACTTAATTTTATTAAAATAATAAAAACTAACAAGGATTACTTCAATATTTAATTAAGCCAATTATTAAAATAAGTTAATTACCTAAATGTTAGCTCTGCTATAGCACTGTTAATTTTGTTGTTAAGTATATTTGACAAGTTACTATATAATTATAAATATTTTTAAAGATTTTATTTTCTGCTTATTTAAAAAGAATGTAGTATCGTAAAATACATTTCTAATTTCATCTTTTCATTTTTATTAATACTATTTTTGTTTAACATTTTTATATTGCTATTTTTGTTGATATTTTGTGTATTTGTATGGAAATAGATATAAACTTTAATAATCAATTAGTTGTGATAATGAAAGTAATTATGTTTTAATGTTCTGTATTTGTTTTTCATTAACATTAATTTATTATGAAAATTTTAATTACTTTAGTTGATATATCTTTTCATAAAATTTATTTTTTGTTATAAAAAATTAAACTAAAAATAAAAAAATACTTGAAATAAAAAATTAATAACTCATTACCATACATCATGTTTATTGGATATTGATATTTATTTTTAATTTGAATTTTGTTCTCATTATTTTATTAATTATCCTTTTATATTTTTCTTTGATGATTGTTTTTTATCAACTATGTTGACTTTTAATACAAAATAATAAATAATATTTCTTTATTTTCATCAATATAAACAAATCTATAATAATTTAACTTCGTACTATTTGCCACTACAAACTGTTGTACATAGAAATTATTTAAGTTTAGTTTGATTATACACTGAAATAAACAATATAAATTTTTTTAGTGATAATAATGAATCTTTTAATTTTCACTATGTAGTTATGAGTAGTAGTAGCACACATTAATAGTATGCACCAAATATTTAAATTTAATTAAATTATTTTTATAACTAATGTTTTGTATATCTTATTATATTTATATATTATAGGATACATGAAAATTGTATTTAGTGAAGGATCATTGATGTTTAACTTTTATAATTTAGATTGGGACGGTTTTGTAATTACTTAAGTTTTTAATTTTTTTTTTCATTTATGTGTTTTTTATGTCTTGAGATGCAATATGGATTAATATATATATATATAATTATATATACAATTATTAAATAATTTTGTGTTGTAAATTATTATCTACGCAAAAAATGCCTAAGTGATTAGTTTTTATATGTTTTATTTTAATACATGGATTGAGACTATTAAAAAGTAATATGCATTTTATTGATGAAAGCTAATAATAAATGCACGTTATTATTATTGTACGAGCTATGATATTTAGCTACTACTAAAAATTACTTTTCTCCCCATTATCATTTATCTGGGTAGTAATCTTACAATTTTTATAACATTAATTCTTTTTCAACAATTAAAGTTCGATAAAGATCATAAAAAAAATTGTTATTTTTGATTTTGGAAGTGAGAATATATTCACGACTAATGATTCAAATAAATAAAAGTAAATTTCTAAATTCTCAAATAACCAATTAAATTTTATACGTCTAATCAATAACTAAGTTATTTAAAATGTTAATCATTTATATTAAAATTAAAAACGTGAAAAACAATTATTAATAATTTACAGAATATGAAAAATCATGTTTTGTTACAAATAAAGTAAATAATGTAGAAAAAGTATCATTTTCAATATATAAATAAATAAACCTAAATACAATCAATATAAATGTAGATCACATTCTAAAATTTATCTTAATTATTACCTAATATATATACGAACATTAGTGTTGCATAATTTCTTTATAAACTCAAACAAATCTTTAACCTCATATTATTAAAAACAGTAATCTGTTTTTTGGTACAAAGAAATGTATGTCAAAAATGTTTACTTACAAATAGATTGCTCTAACTTGACAATAAGTAGTGTTAGTTATGTAAACATTATTAATTAAATAACACAATATTTTTTATTTAATGTAATTTTGAAAGTTGAATAAAAAGATATACAAATTGGATAACATAGAACTTTATGATCATAAACTAATACTTAATCTTTAGATACCTGTTGCCTGTATTCCTCTTTCACATATCACTAGTTGTTGTTACTATTGTTTATATTCGACAATCGATAGTAATGCCATCTATTAACTACTAAAGAAACTCCTTGTCACCGACGGAAGAGACAACGACGGCCATAGATCATGAAAACAATAACTCCTACAATAATACATTTCAACTTTATAAATATTTTTCTCATATATATGTTTCTATTTAACAAATTAAAGTTGATAAAATTTAAGGGGGATATTACAAAATTGTCTTCTGGAAATTATGAAACGTACTTAGGATAATTTTAACTTCTGAATAGAAAAATTCATATTATGTTTTAAATTTTTAATGATATAACGTGAATCAATAGAAATTTATATAGTCTTCAACACTCAATTTTGAGGAATGTACATTTATTATTAATTCCGATTATCATATAAAAAGTAATTTTTGAAATATAAGTATTCGGTATTTTTGTAATTTATTACATAATTAGGAATGCTTTTATATCTTCTTCTAATTCCTCATCTTTATACCATCTACTTGCAGTCAGCCACAACTTATTCTCAACATCTACTAGACGCGATCTTCTACTGCATCATCTATGCTCACATCAGCCGTCCTCATATCGCATTCAATAATTCCCTCAATGTCTTTTTTGGTCTTACTCTACCTCTTCTTCCTTCAACATTCAGTTCCATAACTGTTCTTGCAGCTTCCGATTCCTCTCTCCTTATAACATAACCAAACAATCTAAGTCTATTTTTTTTCATTATAGAACTAAAATATTCTGTTACTGCGCCCACACTTTTTACTTTGGTACAAATGCCATCGTTCATATCCTTTATTATATTAATGTACCTTTTTGGAACTCAATATCGAAATTAGGAATACTTTTATTTAATAAATAAAATATAAAGTAATTTCTAAATTTGATTTAATAATTTAATAAAGTATTCTTAGAGATATTTGAAGAAGTATTCAGGCACAAATTAAAGGACGACGAACAACATTACGGACACATGAGCTTAAAGGGCCCACTACAAATTTACTAACTTTGATTAGTGACAGTTTTTTTTTATCATCACTTTTTTAATCCGACTGATATCCAATTATATAAACTACTGTCTTTTCAAAAACATATTTTTCTTACACATATTAATACATAATGAATTTTTGAATTAAATGTTTTTTTCATTTTCTGAAAAGATCAGTTACCTCTTTTCATAGTGGTTCAAACTATTTTATATTAAAAATAATATTTATTGAAAAAACACTACTTTTTGTTATACTTCTCGTATTAAAAATTAAATTCATACAATTTAAATACAGTTGATTCCATTGAATCAACAAAATTCTTGTGAGCTAAATTTTAATAGATATCATATATCTGTATTCTAATAGTTTTAGCTTCGATGCGAAGCTGAGAAGGTATTGGTTTTAGTTATTATTGAGGTGGACATAATGCCCATGCTCTCAGACCTGTTGGTCCATTGTGCGCAGGTATTGGTTTTACTAAGATGTGTTTTTTTTTTTTTTTGTGTCTGTTCCCACTTTTTCTCAGCTCTCACCGAACCGATTTCTTTCAATGATACNTTGTGTCTGTTACCACTTTTTCTCAGCTCTCACCGAACCGATTTCTTTCAATGATACGTCAAAAGATCACAAATCGTATCTAGTCGAAGACATTACCCTTAAAAATTGAAAAAAATTCCCTCGTCCTCCGTAAAAGGG